TTTAAATAAACGCAACGATCTTGCCCGTGTTTTTGCACGTGGTTTGCTTTACGCCCTTTTACGTAACGAGACGACGGGAGTGCTGTTTGTACGCGGATGTGACCCCGATAATAGCGAATTGAGAATTTTCTTTGCGCATATAATTATATCGATATTCTTGAAATGCCACGGTTCTCTTCGCCCTTTATACAAGGATCCAATTAGAGTTAATAGCGTAAACTCACGCGGTAATCGACTCGGCCGGGAATTTATTTGCGAGTACAGACGGCGATCGCGCGTCGATTTCACCGAATAATCGAAGGTAAACTCGTTAACCCACGCGCTCCGCTTCAAGTCGCCGAGGCTCTAGGCGCCTTCGATTAGCGCCGAGTCAGGTAATCATTAGGCGGCATTTAACTCGCGAGATCAGGTCGCTCGTGCGCAGATAGTAAGTCAAACTGTTTGCATGGCCTGGATAAGCGCTGCTCGTTGGATCCTGTCAACGTGCACGAACGTATCGTGCGCCGCGACACGTGTATGAAATAAAATATTCACATGGCACGTGAGTGGACTGTGAATAATCGAATTTGAGAATCAACATTCTCATATAGCGATACGTACGGGAAGCGTTCGTTTCAGTAAAAAATACGCGGACGGAGCTAATAATATATCGTGTCTGTTACGGGGATAAAAATATGTTAGGGAAAACTGCAATTGCGACGTAACGTTCACACTCGCGAATGCATGGCCGTTGATCGCGATGGCGGAAAGTTTCTTCTACGGCGTACAGCCATCAACGTCGTTAGTTAACATTAATCGACATTTATGAAGCCGTTGTTGATTACCGTCACGTAGCAGAGCTGCGAACCCCATCACGCTCGCGTCTTCCGCATCCTCGTTAAATATAGATCTCCCTGTGGGCGACCCTAATTCTGAACGAACTCCCGATTGTGTCGCCTGGTCAGCCACCGCATAATTGAACCATACATATTGGAGTGATCGAATTGCCGAGGTGGGTGGCTTTCGGATCGAAGGCTTCCGAAATCTATTCGTATTCTTGAGGGACGCTAAATGAGCCGCGCTGGATGGAAAGGACAAAATCATATTATCTTTTCATTTGGGAGAAGACGAGTTCGCCGAGGTACCTAATCTAAGTAACTGTTTCGTTACAGCGTTTCTTTCGACATTTACGGAACTGAAGGATTTTACGTAAAAAAAAAAAATTCAAAAGAAGATCGCAATTTCCGAGATCCTGTACTTTGAATCAACTTCCCCAGGATCTTAGCGATCCTTTAGTTCTAAAAAAATAATACAGATTTCGTTGCAAATATATAAGAAGCGTTGTTAAGCGTATTAAGATTTGTAAACGATCTCACCCCCCCCCCCCCGAGTCCTCGTGTCAATGATGCATTAACGAAGGGGCGGACTCGACCCCGCTCGGCAAGATGTCGTTTAAAGTTTTTACATCGCCTGGGAAATGATGCACTTTAACCTATATCGCCGTGGATAAGACGAGGCAGTTTTTAGACGGGGAGGCCGCCTCCTTGCAACGTCGCCGCGTTAGTGCAACCGCACGTCCTGTCCGAAGGTTAATCTTGGCGATAAACATGGTCTGGGGCAGCGGGAAGGAAGTCCTCGGCGATGTCCGGGGCACATGTTTTCCGTCCGGTGTGAAGTCGCATCGTGAATGCGGATAAGCTACGGCCTGATAAACGCGACGAGAGAGAACGGGATTATCGCCGTAAGTTTCATTAAAATTAGTATCCCCGCGCTAATTGAGGACGAGGAAGATAAGTTTAAAGTGAGCCAACTAATTATAAAACGACGGAGAAAATATATCCGACAAAGCTATCCGCTCTATGCCTTCGCAGTTGACTTCCGTCGCGCTCTTTTTTAAATCCCCAGCGTCCGCCGGCCTCGAAGCCGGTCGGCGATTCTTCGGACGATATCTTCGCTTCTTCGTTTCGTCGAGGTCTTCTTGATTTTTTAATTTTCCGGCGTTTAAGGGAGCACGTTCGCCGGCGCGCCAAGCAGAATGTCATAGGTCATACTGTGAGAACGGAACATTCTTTCTCCGAACTGTTGCGGGGCTGAGAGCAGTCCTATTCCCTCTGTCGCGTCGCTATTAATCTCACCTCGAGCGGCAGACAAATCGACTACTCCGGTTTTGTCTCCCGAAGAAGCGTATTACAGGAGGATTCCGCGATATTAAACGCTTCACGTACACCATAAATCCGTCCTCGCGATTCCGTCCGCTCGACAAGATACGCGAAATATCGTCCCCCCGAGTCGTCGAGTTAATATTATCGCGCCAGGGGAGTCGATAAAAAACAGCGTGTGTGAAAGCCGCGTATCTCCCGCATTTTCAAAGAACGGCATTCACCAGGGTCAATCTGTCTGCATTGTTCCGCGCTCGTTGCGTTCGTCCGTAAATTGTGCCGGCTGTATCGACGATAAAATTCGCGCGAAATTTCCGAACGTGTTATGAATACGCAGAGAACGTATATTATATGCAAAGCTTGCTTCCGTTTCAATAAAGAGCTGAATACAATATTTCTGACAGTAGTAACAGCTTCACGAGCACTGACAGCGACAAAGATCTACTCTGATTTCTGAATGCGGCAACACTTATGTTGGGCGGCATTATAAAATTTCGCCAAGCTGTACAGCTGCGGTCAGAAAGGTTGGCCGACGTTGATAAATTTCGGAAATACAGTCTGTCATAGCTTTCACGGATATGCGCGCACCCTCAGAAAGGATTTCTGTTACCGAGACAAAAAATATTCTTCGCGCATTTATATTTCTCACAACTTCATTTAGTATACAAATAAGACAATATCAAAATAAAATCAATAATTCTTATTCTCCTCCATCGAATCACACAAGATTGACTTACTATATTGAGACAAGAGTAACTTACATAAGTGTAAGTTTATATATTCTTGTGTTCAGAGTAAATTTTCCCTCCATCTTACAACGCACGAAGTTGGCACCACGATATTCGACAAGAGACAATTCTAGATTTTACAATTTTTTCTTTTCTCTAATAAATATGATTGGCGCTAAATCGATCTTATTTTACGATACATTGAAGTGTAATAGCAATGGATCCAGAAATTTTTTCTGTGAGTGCAGTGACACATTATTAGAGCAAAGAAATGCCACGTACGAATGCAATTACGTACGAACATTCCGAAAACCTATTGTGAAACGTCGCACAACTTTTCTGACCATGACCGTACAGGGTCTATTCGATCAATTTCAAGTAGGTATGCGCGAAGCTACGACTGTACGTGGAAGAGCTGTTGAAAACGCCTTCGCACACAGAACGTCTCGGAGAAGACTCTCGCAAAGCTACACGACCCCGGGAACACGCGATTACCGGGAACGAAAAAATTCTTTTAGCCGAGACAAGTTTACTGTCGCGCAGCCGGAAGAAATATGGCCGCATAAAGCGTGGGTGCGGAGACTCGACAAGACGCAGTCACGATGTTGCTGCTGTAGAAACGCGTAATGCCACTATTCCGCCGTGCTCTTCGGCATGGCGCATAATGAGATTGAACCTGAGTGCGAAAGTTTGGATGACACGCTTTCGCGCAACCATGCCACCACGAGGGTGGTAAGTATTCGGGTGTTTTACGGCATAGAAGCTCGGGGAGGACCCGAGCTTAGGCAACGTAAGAGGATTTACACGCGATGTTATTTTCGCGCCGAGCAGAGCCGAGGCTCGTGCATTTTCTTCGTGGAGACGAAGTATGTTTAATAACTCACGTCGCTATTCGCGGGGATCTGTCGCATTGTAAATCATGCATTTTGCACGAGGTAAAAATCCGGCGTGGCAACTCGTGTAACCCGGTGTTACGCACTTGCGAATCCGACTCGTCAGAGGCACCTCTGTACGCCATACCATCCGATTTGCAAGCTCGCACGGAGCTTTCCACGAACAAGTAAAAGTTAAACACTTCTCTCGCCCCGTTCGCCCTCAACTTGAATCAAACTTTTGGCAAACACGCGCGAAATTTTCCGTGCCAAGGGAATAAAATTTGCAGTTCCGCGAGCTCCGAACGCGCTGGAAGCGGATAATTCTTTTTGGCAAAATCAGAAAACTGCTCGGTGCGTTGGTGCGTGTTCTCGGAGAGCGTTTAATTTATCTTTTTGAATCGCTGCCAAACGTTACGCGGAGCCAGCAAAACACTTGCTCCCTGGAATATCGCGAGATATTAGCTTCCTGAAAATATCACGCAACGCGCCAAGGTGACTGTTAATGCACACGTAACAATGTCCCGTTAATCGTTCGCAACTAGCCGTAAGGTTCCTGCGTTGCGAGACGTTCCGTACACGATAATTATAAAAGCGGTAGCTCACGTTGCTCCTGATTTATTCATGCAGAGAGATTTGCATATCAACGATAACGCAATGCATTTAGTAACTGATATTCTCGCGATATCGACTTTACCATTACACACATTTCCTGATTATAATAGAAGAAATAGCTGACTTTTCCAGCTTTAACAAGTACAGAAGACACTCTGTATAATTTTCTTATTCAACAAGTACAGAAGCAACGAGATCGCATCATTGTTTAAAGTTACTTCGATAAGAATAAAAAAGGGCGTCTAACGCGCATTTTCCAGCTGAATGTTGAAATAAAGAAATCTAACTGTGCTATCCGTTCGAAGCAGCGCGTGTAAGAGATTTCAACTCTGCCGCAAATCCTCGGGAGTGGAAAACGCGAGCCTCGCTCCTAACAGAGTTCGCTTCGCCCGGCGGATCCGAACGTGAGATTTAGATAAATACCTTCCACCCCTAAGTACGCCGTCGGGATAAGGCGGTATCGGTGCCGATAAGGGCACCCCCGCATCCGCGACAGGTCGCGGTCTCGCGTGTCGCCGCCGATCTGCGCCCCACGTCGGATTCTCCACCCGCACCCTCTCGCTCGGGGGTGAGTTTCAGTCAGCTTCGAGCCGCGAGTGGGGTAAGTTGCGCCGCGCGCCGGCTCGCTGGCCCTTCGCAGAGCGAGGCACCCAACGCCGCCCCGCGCGCATCTCTCATTCTCGTCCGCCGATAACGAGAGGTACAACCCCCGACGATCGGCGCATCGTCGCGCGCCGATTCAACCGGCGTGGCGCGGCGCGGCGCGCGCTCGCGTGGCAAAAGATTCGCGAGGATCGAGCAACGCGGGTGGATGCATCGTGATCGCGCGAGAGAGCACCTTGCCAGCTTTCCTCCGGCTCGGCTCGCGCGTTTCGGCTCCTCTTTCCTCGCGGGGAAACTCGTCCCGAACTTAATGACAGCGGAAGGAGGCGGCATCGGTGGTGTGCTCGGGCAGCTTCATCATGCTGAGGTGAGTTCTTGCTCATTCCTCCCATTCGATCTAGCTCGCGGCGTGACTGTGACTGCGCAATTTCTTATATAACGTAACCGCGAAAGACCCCCTGGGGCGGCAAAGCTTCGCTCTTGTTGGGTTTTGCAATCACGGGTGAAAGTAGATTCCCGTCGGTTTGACACGCTCCTTGTGGCTTTGTGTTTCTTTTGTGGATCCCCCTCGATCAGTTTTAACTTAATTTTCTCGCGATAAAGGTCTCGAATCAACGATTTGCGAGTTCCGTAATTCTAATTCCAGGGCTTTCGATCAAGCGTAAATGGACGACGAAATCTCCGTTTCATTCTCACTGCGTTTCCACAACATTTTCGACGCGCGATTCAATTTATTATTTTTCAATTCGTCATTTTCTAAGTCTCGTGCCCGATTATAATGCATTAATATGAAATTCTGCCAACATAAATCACGTATAAGAAGTATAGAAAGTACAGGTCATCTTTCATTCTTCCTCGAAACGAATGTCGATATTTCGACGGCGACGGCGGCCAAGTTTTAAACGGGAAACGTAGGGGAATTGCGGGAAGAAGTTCATTCAGGAGAACTCGGCGCATCTGCATTCTCGTGCATCTTTTTTCAAGAAAGTTTGTGTACACTGGCGACTGGCCGTTGACCCTGTTTCGCCAAGTAGTTTTCTTTCATTTGGGACAAAGGCTCTTGCCCGTCCAGGTTCGTGATAAACGCGGGAATTCGCGTGTCGCCGATAGGCGACCGTCGATTCTGAATATCTGAATGGTGATGCGTGATCGAACGAGAAATCGGACGGACTGTCGAATGTGAATTACAACGCACAACTACCGACGGCACGAGCAAATCTCTCAAGTGGGTCAACAAGTTGAACACTCTGTAGATAGAATGTAGCTCGATTTTGTATTCGGGGGCACGTTGTGATACGATGATAAGAGTCGAAAACGTGAGTAGCAATCGTTAGTTCCGTCGCTCGGGGCTTTTTAGGAATTTACGATTAGAACGAGCGACGGAATTAGTTCTCTTTGAAATTGTGCGGCGGAAGCGAAAGGATGGACACCCGAGTCGAAATTTTGGTACTATTTTGACACTTGAGGATAATTTACACCTACTTAGCTGAACTATACACCTATACATACACCAGCAATAACTTACTTTGATGATATTATATTTTTTACTCCTCCCTTGAATCTTTAATTCTAAAAATTTACTTCAGTTCGTAAAAGGACCTACTTTAATGCTAAATTGGCAAAAGTAGAAATTTCCGACACTATTAACACTGACTGATAACTATGACACTTTTACGGATAATTTACACCTACTTAGCTGATCTCTACATAGACCTACTTTGGTGATATTATATTTTTTATTCGTCTCTTGAATCTTTAATTCTAAAAATTTACTTTAGCTTCTACTTAAAAGGACCTACTTTAATGCTAAATTGGTAAAAGTAAAAATTTCCGACACTATCAGTATTTTGTACTTGCAGTTCGACCTCTTTTACTGTCTCAGGTCCTACTATGTAATAGAATTAAAGGTTCAACATAGCGGCAAAATTTGGCCTCGGGTATTGCGTACGAAAAAAGCAACTAAGCTGCTCCATCGCACGCAAACAAACATTCAGACGTTATTTTCTCAAACGTGTTCGATACGGGATATATTTAGCCATGATTGCGTCGCAGCAATGACACTCTGGTATATCTAATTTATTCATTGCGTCGCGGGGGAAGAAACTCGAGGCTGCTCTCGCATTTAGTCATCATCCTCGTCGTCATCTTCGGCTTGTTGACGCGAAGAGAGGCAGATCCGAGCCGAGATATCCCGCGCATTAGCATTCAGCTCTCCTGACACCGTCATTCATAATGCTGAAAATGTGCGGCCGCACGCCATGACGAATTACGCTAAAGCCGCCCGCGATAATACTTTCTTACGTCGTCGATCGTTCTTACTACTTTCTTTTCAAAGTGGTCGCCGTTCATCCGCCTCGAGGAGAGAATCTCCTGAGATACTAGCCTCCTATCTCCGACCACCCTTCGCACGCCATGCAGAAAAACCGAGCACCCTCGCTCGCAAATATTCCTTCTGTCGAAGTTCCCGCTCGTAAATTCTCGACGACAGATAGTATGTACGTTTTAATATTTACGAACGGTACTCACTCACCAGCAGCACTCGCATGCTGTACAACACTGCGTCCTTTATACATTATTCGATGCCCCAAGATGTTGCATCAAGTCGAGCGGACGATGGACCAATCGGAGTTGTTTGCGTACACGCTGACCGGAATTTGGATTAACAACAATAACATCAGAGAGAGAGAGAGAGAGAGAGAGAGGGGGGGGGGGGAGGGAACAGAGATTTCTTTTCTACAGTAATTGTAGGAAAGCAAATATTACAAGAATAGAATAAAAATTCTCCCCCGGAGCTTTCGAGGCATTTGAAAGCGAGTCAATAACAGATCGGACTTAATCGTACAATCAATAGAATCAGTGGAATCGAGCAAATGTAATTGTAGACTTATTACGCGATATTACGTTATTCACAAAATTGGGAATTTCGTTAATATCAAGGCGATGTTAAAAACGAGCCGATCAATTTCGCGCTCTATTTTTGCCGCGATCGATCGCAGATGCCGTCGAACGCGCCATTGAAATGACGAGCGACGTTGCGTTCTCCCATTGTCTCGCCTTTTATTTTTTTTTCCCCGCCCGTCGGTGCTCCGTGCCCGTCGTTCCGAAAGATTTCATTACGTACGTGCTCAAAGACGCGTCGAAGGATTCCGTTCCCCGAGACTTGCCCGTGCAACGCACGCGACGCGTTTTCATAATGCACAAGTTTACATTTCTCGGCAACCCGTAAAACGCTTTTACGGCCCCAAGGGATGGTTATCGCGCGAGAAAGGAGGGATGATACTTTCCCACCGGACTTTATTACATCCACGGGTGCATCCCGCATCGCACCGGTATGTCTCTCCTTGCGCTAAGTTCTATTTTCGTTGCGCCATATCGATCCTCGCTTACGCCGTTTCAAGTCGTAACAACGCGTCGTTGGCCGCGCTGGATCCCTTTTGCAAACGGCAAAATTAAGCGAGGGCATTTGTCGCGTATCAGCGAGAAGAGGAAAAAAAAAGCGTAAAAGGGAGAGCGAGAAGGGACGACGCTCTAATACCCGGAGGGATAAGAGCGGGGGTACGTGTAAATCAGCCCGAGTCGTATTTTAAGCGAACGTTCGTTTTTCTTGCGGAGCGCAAGACGCATGCAAATAAATCGTGCGTTGTACGTCGAAAGAGCTGGATACGGGGAGCGATTTATCGATGCGTATTCAATTCTCTCAAGATATGAATAGCCGGCGTGTCAATTGTGAATGAAGGATACCTCCTTCACTTCTGATTAATATACCGAGTATTCAAACTTGCGTATTGAACGGGAAGGTGCGTTCGATTGTCGTTTGCGACCGTTGTGAAATTGTTATTGTTAAACGCGGGACGTTATTTCTACTCTCCGTTTTACGACATTGTCTGCGGGGGTGAACACTTTTCGTAACGACTTTGCAATTCTCCGCGAAATGAATTGCGAAAGTAGTAAAAACTAGTAAGTACTGCCATAGAGTCGCTCTTTCTTCCTCCCCTTTTTGTGACGCGGCAAAGCTGTTCCGCTTTAAAATGGACGCGGCTCTAAATGTGCCACGGTTGCCTGACGTAGGAATCAAATTTAAAAATTCCCGATGTGCCGTTGCGCGCGCGTCCGCCGAGTCACTCCGTCACAGTGGTCGAGCTTGATAATTAAACCGACACGGCTGCATTAATGCTATAATAAGTGCACTCCGGGTACGATCTTCATTATATCTTTTTAATCATTTACGCGTAACGCCCTAATTAATGGCTGGCTAGTATATACCAGAATTTCAGTGTGACTTGGAATCTTTAAATAAATAATCGTTCACAAGGTTGACATTTTTTAATTAACTGCTACAGCAAAATCCATTTTACCCTTCAAGCTCAACTCTTTAGAATCTTAACATATTTCACGTTAGCCTCTGTAATCATGTTAGCTATCGATTTCCTTGTCAGAAGAAATTGGCCGTAATTTTATATCCCAGAAAATTGTTCACAACACGGTGCGTAGTTCGCGAGAGGTAAATAGAATCATACGGGATAACAACGAGTTTCGAGAACAACTCCTGAGGAAATCCACCAGAAATCCGGCAGTCGTCGACGGTATTCACGCTCGAATGTTTCTCTCATCGAGATTTCGTCGAGATCGAACGTTTCGCGAATTTCTATAGAGAATGGCACATTAAATATGGATAAGTCAACGGGGAACGCGCGCGCGTTGCGCGACGATATACGAAAGTACTGACAAAATGTTGAGTTCGTCAATTAACAATCGTGCGGATCGATGGTTAGATTAATTATTGTCGTTAACAGAGTGCTCGCTGTGGCAGAATCCCCCTTTGCTGTAAGCGGAGTAATTAATTGCTAACTGGTAACAACGCTTGCGGACACGCGCCGACGACGACGGCACTCGTCATTAATTGAGAATCCAATCGAAAGTTACATCGCACTTTGACTACGTGCGATACAAGTCGGATCGGAGCGCCGAGATTTGTTTTCACGTTTTCCATTAAAATTCCTCACACCCTACTAGATCATTTATTCACATTCCTTCAAGGTGATATTTCCAACTCCCGGTTTTTCGTTCGATTTTATTACGAGACACGCGCGAAATATTGTTTCTGTAATTGTTTTGCATTTTTCTAAATAATTTCACAGATACTAGAACGACATGTTACACGTGCGCTATTTGGTTTTAATAGGAGGTAGTCGGGAAGCTGAATTACATGTGATATGCGAATTGACATTTCAATATTGTACGCTTCGCGAAACTCGACGATATAACGTATATGATAAAATAATAAAATATATGGGCAGATTATACACGCGCGCGTAATAAGAATAAAATAGGCGCATTGTTAGAATAAATTAACAGTCACGTGTGCTG